CGCTTGTGTCCCTTGTCTCAAGCCTCCCACCAAGGAGCACAATCCTCCACTTTGTGCATGGCTACTCCTCCACAACCCAGAAGATAATAACGACCAATCGTCACTGTGTCTTAGCAGTAAGTGGAAGCAATTGCAAGTTGGACTAATTTTTTTAGCAAATGTCAAATCCTTCTCCCAAATTCATGTGGTCACCGGTGATCTTCTCTACGAATAATGATGATACTGATGGTGCAGTCAGTGGATAAATCAGTGACAAAAGAGGAGTAAAGGTGTAGTACCTACTTCGAATGAATGCCAGAGCATTAGCGCTATCAGGGAGTCGCAATTATGCACCTATCCAGCAAAGAAATGTCTGCGCACACGCACAAACCCAGTCTCCCCCTTTCCTTTCACCATCTCTCCCTTCCTCTTGTGTCTTAGCATCCAGCGGTGTTGTGTGCGTGCGGATTTGTGAGGCTCCACAAATCCTCCATAACCTTACAATTCTAGATAATTATACTTTCATTCTATATATCATAAACGCTTTTACGAATTCTCCTCATAAATGCAAGAGGTTATGTAGACTGAGTAAGTAGTCGAGTGGCTCCACAAACAGAAGCCATGCAGTTTCGATAAATCCATTGCTTTGAAAAATAAATCTCCACGGGAGTTGAAGATCAAAATAACTTTTGCTATATAGAATGGACCATCCTGTCAGTGTCAGTATTGGAACTTGGAGAGCTGCTAGTGATAACATGATCAATCGTTGGAAAGTACTTCGACAGGTCTAGTCGGCCACTCATTACTTCCCAATATGAGGATTCGGTCAAGAGTTAGTCTTCATGGTTGGAAGTTGGTAGTATCTACTTGTGTTATCATCACCACAAGTCATTTAGATAGTGATAGCTGCTAAAAACATGCCAGAACCATAACTATTGGCATTTTGTCCTCGCTACGACAAAATTACGCCTCAAAAATAATCTGTGACACCATTGGTGCATTCTGTGCCAACAAATTGCATCTTTTCATCATTTGTATCTTAAGTGAACAACGGTAAATCAAAAAACCGTAAAATTACAAGCTGAGAGAGTGGGCGTAGCTTGGTAGTGCCTCATTTGCGCATTATTGAAGACTATTTGGGGTATCTCAACATTTTAATTTAAACGCACGCTTTACTTTAGCAGTAGACAGCTAAGCGATATTAAGTTAAACCTAGTTAGCTAACTATAAACTAGAAATTGAGTTCAAGAGAGTTTACAATGTACTGTAAGAAATTGTGGCTACTTTAAAAACATGAAAACGGCAATTGCGTTTAGTACAATGCAAAACAAGGAAAAGACCGTGCAGTCGTATTTTTTTAGATACTGTGTGGAGACACGAAGTTGAAAGAGGCAAGTAACGCTGTCTGAAATCGATTTAACCGAATCACTTAAGGGGTCTCACATGTCACCCGATGTCGGAAGAGCTGCATGAGGCACAAGGATCATGGGGAAGGTCTAAAGCTTGCTGGAATGTGATCAAATGTGGGTCCACTTCGTTTAAACATGTTTCGATGACGAGCACTGGATCAGTCACGGCATCCTATATTTGGTGCCACACTCAACTTCACAAAGGTTGAAATCCAATAAATTATCATTATCGTAATCTGGCACACTGAAAATTCTACTCTTCTAACATCGGGTTTCCTAATTAAATTGCAAATTATTTTGATTAAAACGAAAGAGAAATGATAAACTGATTTCTGGGAGCCACCAGGTTTCGGTGGCAAATGAAATCAACAGGACGACTGAAAACCAAGTTGTGCGCCGAGTTTGATGGCTTTGCAGGCGGTATAAACAAGGAAGCAGGCTGTCAAGTCCCATACTTTTCATCTATAAAACAAAAGCTTTGTCGTCCTCGTGAATGTGATTTCAGCTTCTTGCTGCTACTACTATTACTTAAAATACACCAAGAATACGTGTAGGCTGATAAAAATGGACTCGGCTTCGCAATGGATAGCTTGCTTAGGCGAAAGTACTACTGAGGGTCGTTGCTGGTGATTAAACTATCCATTATTGACTGAAAATTAAAGTTTCTTTCATTTTCTGTGTTCGTCACCCTTGAATACCTTTCCGAGACTAGTTAGGTAAAGTCACCTTCCATGAGGAGCAACAGATTTGTTGTTTTATGCAACACATCATTCCACTTGGACCCGACATTTCGTTTTTACCATTTATCTGTTACGTGCCTTTAAGCGGATAGAATGGAACTTGGTTAAACACCTTCAAGTCCAGATTTAAAAGACTGATAATTCAGTTCAGCCAACTGGGAACGATCGTGGATATCGCCATGGATAATTACCACTTCCAAAGTACGCTGATGAGGTGAACAGACAAAACCGGTATACTTTAACACAATAATATAATGTTCGCCATGATGACATCGGTGTTGCTAGGGGAAAATACCTACTGAAAATAAGTTGCTATGTTAACGAGACAAGGTTGGCTTGTAACTAAGGCATAGAATCACGTAAGACGGGATTGAGAAATGATCGCTGAGACCGAATCCGAGCCGGCCATGACACCAGGTCATCCAGTCACTCAATCAAATGGTTACAAATGTACCAGCGTGATCTTAATTGTCATTATCATCTGCAGTGCTTAGTTGCCTTAGTAACACTGTGTCATGTTTGACGTGTTGTTATTTCGTTGCACCCAGGATTATTCATCAGCCTGAGTTGAGCACCCAAGGTTCAAGACGCAATAGCGACTCCACATGAGAGGAGGTAATCTTTCCCTCATGATTGCGTCAAGGCAAATGAAAGCGAATTAGCCCGGAAGACCTGAAGTCATTGGTAAAAGACAAATCCCCAGAATAACGTCTGTGCATTCTATGTGTTGCCGTTGTCGGAAGAGAAAGTCTGCGTTTCTACAACTCATCAACGAAGCGGTTCTACGTCGGCAAATTTATTTAGGTCATTTGAATCTCCACTGCTGAAGTCTGAGGAACCAGTCTACTTTCCTTCAAGCGAATCAGCTCTGAGAAAAAGGATGTGGGGTAGTGAACCGTGTGACAGGAGAGGGAAGGAATGGTAACAATGTGTAAGTGACCTGAAACGTCACCGTTCCCTTCTCTATCCTCTCCCAAAGCGGTGCAAGTGCACTCTGTCCCTGGAAGAAAGCTAATTGAGGTGTGGAATGACAAAATTGTCTATATGCTACTCCGCTTGCCACACGAAGCGTGCTGCAAACCCGCTGACTTACATACGGATGTAAATGGGTAAATTTGGTCATTTTCGAGTTCAAATAATCTATGCTATTCCTCCTTACGCGTCCAACTGCACTCGGCCAATCGGTCATGTGTGTGCCAGTGGTTGTCCCAAGCATCGTTCGCAGCCAGCGCACATGAGTGCTCCTGCTGTTCTTGGTCCCCGCTTGTGTCCCTTGTCTCAAGCCTCCCACCAAGGAGCACAATCCTCCACTTTGTGCATGGCTACTCCTCCACAACCCAGAAGATAATAACGACCAATCGTCACTGTGTCTTAGCAGTAAGTGGAAGCAATTGCAAGTTGGACTAATTTTTTTAGCAAATGTCAAATCCTTCTCCCAAATTCATGTGGTCACCGGTGATCTTCTCTACGAATAATGATGATACTGATGGTGCAGTCAGTGGATAAATCAGTGACAAAAGAGGAGTAAAGGTGTAGTACCTACTTCGAATGAATGCCAGAGCATTAGCGCTATCAGGGAGTCGCAATTATGCACCTATCCAGCAAAGAAATGTCTGCGCACACGCACAAACCCAGTCTCCCCCTTTCCTTTCACCATCTCTCCCTTCCTCTTGTGTCTTAGCATCCAGCGGTGTTGTGTGCGTGCGGATTTGTGAGGCTCCACAAATCCTCCATAACCTTACAATTCTAGATAATTATACTTTCATTCTATATATCATAAACGCTTTTACGAATTCTCCTCATAAATGCAAGAGGTTATGTAGACTGAGTAAGTAGTCGAGTGGCTCCACAAACAGAAGCCATGCAGTTTCGATAAATCCATTGCTTTGAAAAATAAATCTCCACGGGAGTTGAAGATCAAAATAACTTTTGCTATATAGAATGGACCATCCTGTCAGTGTCAGTATTGGAACTTGGAGAGCTGCTAGTGATAACATGATCAATCGTTGGAAAGTACTTCGACAGGTCTAGTCGGCCACTCATTACTTCCCAATATGAGGATTCGGTCAAGAGTTAGTCTTCATGGTTGGAAGTTGGTAGTATCTACTTGTGTTATCATCACCACAAGTCATTTAGATAGTGATAGCTGCTAAAAACATGCCAGAACCATAACTATTGGCATTTTGTCCTCGCTACGACAAAATTACGCCTCAAAAATAATCTGTGACACCATTGGTGCATTCTGTGCCAACAAATTGCATCTTTTCATCATTTGTATCTTAAGTGAACAACGGTAAATCAAAAAACCGTAAAATTACAAGCTGAGAGAGTGGGCGTAGCTTGGTAGTGCCTCATTTGCGCATTATTGAAGACTATTTGGGGTATCTCAACATTTTAATTTAAACGCACGCTTTACTTTAGCAGTAGACAGCTAAGCGATATTAAGTTAACAGTTAAGGAGGTCTGTACTTGGTAGTGCGAGTTCAAACATTTCGTTTGATGTTCATATTTTCACAGAGTCCTTATCATACGAGGTGATCGGATGTCTTTCACGTACAATTAGAAACCTCTAACATACAT